TCCCCCCCCCCCCCTGGTTTTTCATCCGAAAATAAAATGTCATTCATATCCCCAATAACTACCCATTTGTCCTCAACACTAGCTATCAGGTTCCCAATCTAAACCCAGAAATCTCTCCTAGCAGCAGGGTCTGAAGGAGCATGGACAAAAGTAACAAAAAAAATTCCACTGACATCAACATAAACATCAATAAAATGGCTACTACTATCTAAAACTTGAATACTAATATTCTACACCCACCAAAGGGCCAAACCACCAGCCCTATCATTAGGAAAAACGAAGAACTTCTTAGCAAAACGTAGGGATCTTCTCTTGGTCTCCATATAAGACTCATTCTTCTTTGTTTCGGACAGAAAGACAAAAGTTGGTTTAAACTTCCTAACCATCTACTTAAGTTGACGAACTGTGGGGAACTGCCCGAAGCCCCTACAGTTTCAAACTAGGGCATTCATGGCGCCCCTGGTGGCTTGGAATTGGCCACCGAAACCACAGCAAATCCAGGTTCGAAACCTAGAGGGACATCAGCATTGTCATCGACCATTACCTCACTTGTTTTGGCTACAGCAAAGCCAGAGAAACTCTTCCCCTGTCCTTCAGTTTCTTCTTCACGTTGATGGTTGGCTTTCCTCTTCTTTTTATGTATGTTCGAGCTTCCATTTCGATGCTTTGATGGTTGGCCGTGAGTTGGGTTCTTACTCAGAACTTGATTTGGACTTGGGCCTGTTTGGAAATAATTTTGGCTGACAATATAGTTGGCATGGGCCTGGAATGGGAAATGGTTTGGGCTTTGGTTGTCGAAGTACATAGGTGGGGAAGGGATATTTGGGTTGATGTTGATAGGGAAAGTGGCGGCTGAAAACCCTCCAAATAGATTTCTAGCTACGTTGATTCCTTAAGGGGAAGAGGCAGCCAGGTCTTGGTTCTGGAAAAGAGGTGAGAGGCTTATGGTGAGAAAAGGTTGGGGTTGGAGAGTATACCATGGTGGATTAGGGTGACCTAGTATGGAGATTCATAGCTTATCAACGCTTCAACTAATGGATTATGGTTGCAAGAAAATGAACTATCTTTGTTTTAGTGAAAGATAATGAGGAATAATTATGACTAGTCATAGGAATCTGAACTATCACATTTGAAACCACAGATCTCAATCTTCAACTCAATTACTTCTTAGCCCAAATGATGGGGGCTCTCTTCCCCGGAAACTTGTTCTTTGCTTGAATTAAGCCAAATCTCACTTTGTTTGTTTATACTAGTTGCTTAGTTAATAACTTAGGTTGTTGCAGACCGGAGTTTTATACTCTATCCGCTCGTTTAAAAATATATAGAATTCCTAAAATCATGGGTTGGGCTTCAAATCTTATGTGACACATACGCTTTTCTAAAAGCTTCGCATTGTAAAATCAGCCCCATGGGGTTAGGCCCAAAAATATTAGAGGATTGTGTGAATCACTGTCATTAGCACTTGCTTAGTGTCTGATTATACAAGTGCATATGTATTTTGTTTAAAATTATCATTACTTTTCTTAACATATTTCATATTTATCATGCATATATAATATTTTCATGAAATTGTATTTTTCTCGCTAAGTTTCTTCATTTCGGTAATTTATTGTTGTGATTTGTCACTTATATAATGTTTGTATATGAAGTGTTGTTAACATTATCCCTGGATACCCGAAACCCGATAAACTATGTGTATGATTTGATATTCTATCTGATGCTTATATGGGTATGAATATGTGTAAGTAAAACCCGAACTATTTTGGGTTGGGAAATATATATGCATTATCTGAATCCGACTTGTTACCATCTCTACCCATATTGCATTTTAATGATAATATTATTATATAGAAAGCAAAGATTTTTATAAAATAAAATATATAGAAAGGGCCAACAACCAAAAGAAACACATTACTCCAATAGCACAATCGCAATGAAAACCTATTTTGATTTACCATTATTATATGATTGTAGTAAATATAAAACTGGAAAAAAAAAATAGGTGACCAAAACTAAAACTTCTAGGCAACAGTAACTTTGATTCAAGTTTATATATAACTAGACAATGACCAGAGCTATGCTCCTGAGGAAACCGTCATTGGAATTACATAAAAAATATACAAAAATGCGTTATTGCATTTGTTTCTAGTTTTCTCTTTTCCTTTTGCTTGAATTTTATGATCAATAGTGTTATTTTTTTCATAAAAAAAAAATTAAGGTCATACAAATAAGAATGCAAGTCATATGAAAAAAAGCAGTAAATGAGGGTTTGGCCATTAGTGTTAAACCCAGTGGCAGAGTTATGTTGAATTTAGAAGGGATTGTAGCTCCTCGCAACCCTAAAATTTTTTTTTTTTTTTTGATGAATGGGTGGTTTTATTCATCAAGTACTATCAATGTCTTACAAGAAAGCTTTCAAACTCCTAACAACTTCTATTCGTACAAGGTCAGATTAAGGAAAGTACTATCAACTACACTGATTACATCCTTCTAATTAGTAACTTTGTACCACAACTTCCGGGCAGCATGGGAGTTTGCAAAATTCAGATCCCCTTGCTCCTTAGCTTCCAGGACCCCCTGCATTTTACAGACCAGTTCTTCAATTGTAAGTTTCTTCTGACCATATAGCCGACGGCACCGCTCCCTCCAGATCTCACTGACCACCAGGCACCATAGAATCCGCCCCACCTTGCACTTCCCAAGCTTCTGAACCGCCTGCAACACCACTTGATCCAGTGAACCTGCTAATGGAAATCCCCAACAGCCAGGAAATACAGTTCGCCAAACAATTGGTAAAATTACTTGTAAAATTTTCATAACTTTAGAAATGAAAATAATTGGTAAGACTTTAGTCCTCCTCCCCAGTACAACATTTTAAATCATTCCCTACTCATTCAAATTTTTTATTCCATTACTAATTGAACCTAGTCTTCTCACTCCACGCTCGAATTTCCTCATCCAGTTTTTGAACTCCTGTATATAAAGTTTTGGAATTCCTCGTATTTATTCTCTCCTTCATGGTAGGCTAAGTAGGTTTGTCTTCAAAAAATTTGTAAAGAGTAGCTAGATATTACATGCATCACATACTCAGAGTTGTAGAGAAATCGTCAAGTGTGGTTGCACTTGAATCCTTCAATTTTTTTGTATTATATTATTTGGTCCGATTTTGACCGTCTATAGATGTGTTGTTGTCTTGTTGAGGAAAAATGCAAGGCTTATATTTTCATTGTGTAGGATGAAAGTAATTAGTAGATCTAATCTAAATTCTAGATAATTTGTGGAAACTGCCAAAAAGATCATAATAGAAATATCCACACAATGTGCAAGCTCAATCCAAAGTCTAAAAGCTAATAAAATGACATATTCAAGCCCAAACCCAATTCAAAGTGTTTAGATGCAACTGAGCACACATGATCTGCTCTTAGGCAACAGTAAACATGATTTAGTTTTATATAAGGTCCGATTTCGACCATCTACAGATGTGTTGTTGTCTTGTTGAGGAAAAATGCAAGGCTTATATTTTCATTGTGTGGGATAAAAGTAATTAGTAGATCTAACGTGAATTCTAGATAGTTTGTTGGAAAAGGCCAAAAAGACCATAATAGAAAGATCCACATAATGTGCAAGCCCAATCCAAAGTCTAAAAGCTAATAAAATGACATATTCAAATCCAAACCCAATTCAAAATGTTTAGATGCAACTGAGGCTGAGCACACACGATCTGCTCTTAAGCAACAGTAAACATGATTTAGTTTTATAATAATAATAATAATAATAATAATAATAATAATAGTAGTAGTAGTAATAGTTAGGGATGGGAAACCTAACCGGGATTGAGGGTACCCGCCCGAAACCGAGCCGGTCAACTCGGGCAAAAACCGCATTGACCGGGTGACGGGTCGGGGACGGGGAAACCCGAATATTGCTGTGTACGGTGACGGAGCGGTGACGGAGCGGCGACGGATTCATCACTATCCGCCCCGATCGCCGATCCGTACCCGCCCCGATCGCCCAATACTCTAGTCCCAGACTCCCAATATAGGCAGATTAGCAATCATCGATCCAATTAAGTTAAGAGCCATGCGAGACGGCGAGCGAGACTCCTAGATTCTCCAAAGGTCCTTGATTTTTGCCGATTCTTCCTTCCAAATTCATCTTCGAGTAATGATCCGGCGACTTAGAGAAGCAAAAATCTCTCCCACGATTGACTTAATCCCCAAAATCAGTTCGTAATTTCATGGGGTCTGCATTCTCTACCCCGAATGCCCAATTCTTTCCCTAATCATGATGCAAGCCTTCAATCCCAGCATGTATAAATACGGCATGGCCACCATAGCTGCGAATACGTTCACCCATCGCCGCCCTCCGATTTTCGGTTCTCTATCCCTGCTCTTGCTCCCATTTGCAGAAGAAATCATAAATCGGCGGACTGCAATCAGCAGTAGCCAGCAGCGCCAAAGTGAAAACATCAAACAGTGGAGGTGGGTTTGTTATTATTTTGATTTTCTTTGGTTTTGCAATCTGTACCTGTAATTTTATACTCGAGCTGTAGTGTTGTACCCCTATACGAGTTATCATAATGAATGCTTTGTATGTCTTTGTAGTGGCAAAGGGTAAGAATCGAGGAGACAAAGACTTGAGGTGGCCAGGTGGGTTTGTTAATCTTTCACTGCAGATTTCTTTTGTTCTTTTACTTTTATAATCATATACCAAAGCTGTGGGAGTTTATCATAATAATAGATGGTTTGTGTGTTTGTGTGCAGTGGGAAAGGGAAAACAGTAGCACTGAAAATACTGGTTAGGTGGGTTTTTTCATTTCAAATTTTCATTGCAGTGTTTTGTGGTTCTGTACTTTTGTTACTTGTGTAGGAGTTAACTTAATGTATGCTTTTTGTGTATGGTATATGGTTCTGTAATTCTGTTACTTGTGTAGGAGTTATCTTAATGTATGTTTTTTGTGTCTGGTATACAGGTGATTCTACAAGTGTTCAATTGGAGCCATGTCTGATGTACCACCTTCAGTTCAAGGTCCCCAACCACAAGTTCCTGTTGCACCTGCTGTCGTGAATGGGAATGGCGGTGGAGAGGCTGTAGTTGTTGCTGCTCAACCTCATAATGGAGAAGCAGCTCCGGCTCCTCAACCTCCGAATGCCCCACTTATCATTGATGAGGAGGTAATTGACAGAGCCAAACTTAAGAGTTTGGTTTGGAAACATTTCAAAAAGATTAAGGTGAATAATCTGTGGAAGGCTAAGTGTAACTACTGTGGGAAATTATTAGGAGGGGATTCTAGTAATGGCACATCTCATTTGAAAAGTCATACCTCCAGTTGTCTCCATAGGAAGATTCATGAAGGCAGTCAAAAGATTTTAGGGCCTAACTATTTGGCGAAAGGGAGAAAGGACTTACTTGCTTCTGCTTTTGATGCTAATTCTTCTAAAAAAGAACTTGCAGTAGCTATCATAATGCATGAATACCCCCTTTCTATGGTTGATCATCTCTATTTCAAGAGGTTTGTGTGCTCTCTTCAACCCATGTTTAGTGTTCCTAGTAGGAACACTATGAAAAAGGAGATCTTTTGTGTTTATGAGAGTGAGAGGAAAAAAATTCAGAAGGTAATTGATGAGAACAAAGGAAGGATTGCTATTACAACCGATATGTGGACTGCAAGTAACCAAAAGAAAGGTTATATGGCTGTAACAGCGCATTATATTGACAATTCCTGGAGTTTGAGGAGTCATATGCTCAGGTAAATCAGTTCATTCTAACTTAATGCTTAAAACTCAACCTTTGGCAACTAATAGAATTCTGAATTTCTGATCTTGTTTTCATTTCTTTTGTTTGTTTATTTTTTGGACAGGTTCATCTATGTTCCTGCTCCTCATTCTAGTGATAGACTTGCATCTGTCTTGGTCAATTGCATGCTCGATTGGAATATCGACTCAAAGGTATCCACTATCACCTTGGATAATTGCAGTACAAATGATGCAATGATAGCCAAAATAAAGAAAAAACTGGTTTTATCATATCTGTTGAGGGAGGGTGCACTTCTTCATATGCGTTGTTCAGCTCATATATTGAATTTGATAGTTAAGGATGGGTTAGATGTTGTAAAGGAGGGTATTGAAAGGATCAGGGATAGTGTCTCTTATTGGTTGGCCACACCCAAGAGACTTGAATTTTTTCAAGAGACTAGTAAACAATTGCGTGTTCCATGTGAGAAAAGATTGGTTTTGGACTGCCCTACAAGATGGAATTCTACATTTTTGATGCTTGCAGTTGCTATTCCTTACAAAGACGTGTTTAATAGGCTTAAACAGCGTGACCCTCAGTATGATTGCTTGCCTTCCAATGATGACTGGTTGTTTGCTTCGATTGTGTGTGAGAAGCTCCAGTGTTTTACTCAAGTTTCTGATCTGTTTTCGGGGTCCAAATATCCAACAGCAAACTTGTTTTTTCCTCGTATTTGTGATTTGAGGATTAAAATATGTGAATGGATGTTTGATCTCAACAACAATGTTCAACGTATGGCTGAATCAATGTGGACAAAGTTCAACAAATATTGGGAAGTGATCCAACAGATTTTGGCAGTTGCTGTTGTCTTAGACCCAAGGTATAAACTTGATATTGTGGAGTATTATGCTGAAAAGTTGGGTCTAGATGGTAGTTCATCACTGAGTGCTACAGAAATAAGAAGCATTTTGGGAGATTTGGTGGTTGAATACCGATCAAGGGTGAATGGTAACAATCAATCTGCTATGGGGAATGATCTGCCTGCAATGTCTAGTACTACAGATCAGGGTTTTGACTTGTTTGTTAGTCAAAGGAAAAAGTCTAGGACTTCATCTGTTACGGCTGAGTTGGATGCCTATTTGAATGAGGAAATCTTGCCTCGTACACCTGATTTTGATATACTTATGTGGTGGAAGATCAATGGACCTAAATACCCCATCTTGCAAGAGATTGCAAGAGACATTCTTGCTGTTCCTATCACTTCCGTTGCATCAGAATCTGCATTCAGCTCTGGAGGCAGATTGTTAGATCCTCATAGGAGCAGGCTGCATCAATCAACGGTTGAAGCTCTAATGTGCACGAGGACTTGGCTGCAAGATAATGGTAATTTTTATCTTTAGTTTAGTTTTAGTACATTCCTTTATCATTATATCAACTTTCTGCAAGGATTTAATTCTTTGTTGCATGTTTTTTTTTCAACTAGAGGAGAGCTGTGATGATAGTGTAGGGAATCTAGAGGGTTGCTTCTCTTCATTGGGTGAAACTCGCATGGTTCAAGCAGAGGCACTAACAGAATGTGCAATTCTGGAAGGTTTTTGTAATTACACTTCCTTAATTGTCTTATATTAGCTTTAGTAGTGATCTGAGTTTAGTGTTACTAACAATTACATCACTTGTGCGTTTATAATGTAGACAATGCTCCAAGGAACAGGTCATACAACCCAGATGATGTGGACTAGCTTCTAGGTGCAGGATGTTGCGGTTTAGTGGTGAGTTGTTTGAGAAGAATGGCTTTAAGTTGCTGTTGAGTTTATGGTGTGTTTTAACTGCTAAAACTAAAGAACTGTGGAATTCATTCTACTGCTGCTGTGGATTCATTTTGTTGGTTTGAGAAGAATTCATTTTGTTGAGATAATGGCTCTTTGCAGGTCTGATGTTGTCAGGGCCATTTTGTGCTGCTGTTGAGTTCATTTTGTTGCTGCTGTCGATTTCATTTTGTTGTTGTTGGGTGTCTTTCTTTTACTGCTGAGTTGAGACTTGAGAGGAAGGTTGCAAACTGTTGCTGCCTTGCTGGCTGTCATTTTTCTGCTGCTGAAGAGTGAAGACTGGTGTTGACGTTCCGTTGCTGTTGAAGACTGGAGCTGGGTTGCTGTTGTTGCACTGCTGAAGGATGATACTGCTGGTTAAGAGGGAAGTAATGAGCTGTAGAAGACTGTTGCTGCTGAAGGATAATGCTGCTGGTGTTCTTTTGTTTGCATTTGGATTGCTTTTGTTTACCAACTTAGTCGTGATTGGGATTGGATATTTGGATGTTAGTTTGGATTGAAATCAGACTTTGCTTCTGAGTTGCTCCTGTTCAGCATCTTGTCTGCGGATTGGGATTGGATGCTAATCCAAAGTTATTTCCTATTAAACTCTAGTCTTAGTTCTCTAGTCATTTTGTTATTTGGTTGAAGTCAAACTATATAGCTGCTGACCGGGTATGTTATATTTCGGGTTTACCCGGAACCCGGGGACGGGCGGGTGGCGGTGCATTTTTCCTCCCCGACGGCCGGCAGTGCGAGTGGTATTGTCAACCCGTGGAGGACTAACGGGCGGGGTACGGATGTGGGGAAACCACCCCCGATCCGACCCGTTGCCAACCATAGTAATAGTTAACGCATTACACTGTGTTTGCTACATTTATTAGGCAAGTTTATTCGATTCATCCATCGATCCATCAGACTTGAAAAGGGTAAAGCTCAAACCTCAAGAGACAACCAGTGCCCCAAGCTTGAGCCCCCATACGGTGGTGGCAATGCTGGTTCTCGATCACATCCTTAGCTTGATTAAGACACCCACTCCGGTCCTCGTCGGCCCACCTGTAACCGTAGATAGTCGAGTCACCGCAATCCTGGTTCTTAAACCATGCACCGGCCACCACTGGAACCTCCGGTCCCATCAACGTCTCCATCAAGTCGTATACACAAGGCAGCCGGTGATCGTCGTAGGAGAAGGTGTCAGCATTGCAAAGCCATTGTACGTCGGAGGCCTCGCCGGCGGCAGCCCAAGTATGATAGAATATGATGATGAGCAAAACCACCACCGTGAGTAGTACCTTATTATCATTCCCTGATGAACCCATCTTTTTGTTTGTTTGTTTTTTTTTTTTCTTCTATAATATTATTATTTGCTTTGGTCACTTACATTTATAGTGCTTCGGCAAGCGAAGCGGTAAAGCGACAGCATCAGAAGATTAAAGTGTAGACGGGCCAAATTCGGCTCTGATGCTCTGTGTGTCCAGTCCAGTGTTTGCCTGTAACCACTATGTCTATGTGTTTGGCCGGTCTTTGCTTGTCTATTGTTTTGATCTTGATACCCAAATGGTAATTGACGGCAACAATGGGCTAGTTTGGAAGGATGACAGGGAATTCATGTCACGCGTGTAAGGTTTTCATATGGATGGAATGGAAAGTTCCGTCATTTTTATTTTGTTTCTGTTTCTGTTTCCGAGTTTTTCCATTTTATTTTTCACGGAGGGGTTTTCTTTTTTATGTAATTTTTTCCTCGCGAGGTATTAACTGGAATATACTGTGATAATCTACTTTTTTTCAAGATTTCTTCAGAAAAGTGGCAACAATAAAAATTGATATTTGTTGAAGATTGTAGGGCTAGCTAGCTAATACCAGTGCTACAACTCCCGAAGTATGAACAAAATGTCATTTGTGTCTTATTCTTTATCAATATTCCATTTCTATCATGTCGTATCATACTTTTGTGTCATTTGTATTCTTGTAATTTCGTTGACCGGATGGAGGTTAAATTGTTGTTGACTTTTGCTGACATGACAAATAATGTCACATCCACATAGGCGGGCAAGTCATTACCACATCACTTTTAAATAAAAATAATATTAAAATTAAAAGATAGTACTAAACAATATTAAAAATAAAATCGAAATTCAAGAGTAGCCGCCATCGTAGTTCATCCCCTCTCTTGCGTTATCGTCCAGTCCCCACGGCGGAACGTGCTGAAACTCCGCATCTGTGCCCCGACGACGAGGATGGTAGGAGACGCTTCTGTCGGAGAAGAAGACAAGAGATAGAAAGTTAGTTTTCGCTTTCTTCTCTTTTTTTCACACAAATAGGTAAGGATATTTTAGTCATTTTGGATAGTTTGAACTTTGGTTAACAACAATTGGATGGAAAATCTAATAGAAGTGCATGTTCGATCGGTTACGTGTCTATAGTAGATGGGTAGGTTTAGTGTGAAACATAGTAGAGGATCATGCAATTTATACTATTAAGTATTAACCCTTTTGATCAATTTTAATGATTATTAGTTCCTAGTCTAGAGAGAGAAAATCTTCTTGGATTGGATTTGAATGCCCATTGAATAGAGAGGGTAGGATTGATTGCACGAAAGTGAATTGATTCTCCAAGGTGGATTTAGGTGACCTAATATGGAGATTTATAGCTTATCAACGCTTCAACTGGATGATTATGATTGCATATAAAAATGAACTATCTTTGTTTTGCGGAAAGAGCCGCTACTGCACTAATGATGAGTTATGACTAGTCATATGAATATGAACTATCGCATTTGAAATCACAGACCTCAATCTTCAACTCAATTGTCTCTTAGCCGAAATGATAGGGGCTCCCTTCCCCGCAAAATTTTTGCTTGAATTGCCAAATCTCACTTTCTTTGTTTATATATACTAGTTGCTTAGTTGATAACTTAGGTTGTTGTTAGTTGGTAGTTGAATTATTCACAATTGATATTTGACTAGATAGTTGTTCGAATTTCGAGTACGAATACGCCTAACCTTCATGGAATCCGACCTTACACCACTACATTACAAGCATCAATTGGTAGCCTATTTTAATTTGTCATATCATTTGTAGGCTGACCATATGTAGGAAGATCAAAAAGTACGTTTGCCTTCTCTGATTTCCGGCCTAAAATGAATTATTTGTTATATTGTTATATGTAAGATTGGTGAGTTAATCCTAAGAAGAGGTTGGTCTAATGATAATGTATGGTCAACACGAAAGTGTCACAATTAGTTTTGTTCTCAGTCCCTTTTGTTTACATGGCCAATTTGACTCACTACCAGGAGACAAGTAACCTTTGCAATGATTTTCACTTTCCTGAGTGGCGAACATTATTTTTCTTCCAGATTCCTCCTGCCCAGCACTAGCAAGAAGAAAAGGTTAAGGAAAAACCTAGGCAAAGCAGGTATCGGAGAAAGTTGCTGGGAGGAAAAAGAATATGACGTTTGTGAATCAGAATTTGGGGCAAGGGTTGAGGATCCAACTTCTTCCAAGTAGGACCATCTGGTAGGTTTCCCCTTTGTTTCTTCTGCACTTTTTCCCCATTTTTGTTCGACGCACGAAAGTTGCTATGGAAGCCAATGGCCATTTGCTTGCTGCTACTCAAAGTAACCTATTTGCCCTTCGGAGCCAAAACATCTGATCTTGCCGGATTGTGGAGAGCAAGTACTAGTTCGATCGCGAGGATATCGTTCTATTGTTTCGGATACCCAAGGGGCACAACGTGAACGGAATGTTCGATGCGCTCTTCGAGATCGTGATATCAGTTAAAGAGATTTTTCGGCACAAGTTCTAGACTTCCAGACCAATGAGTAATACAGTCGAGAAACTAGTATGCTTGCATATGAAGCAAGCAACAACAGCTCATGAATGTACACTACTGTGATAATATACAACACAGAAAAGCTTCTGCTTGATTTTCTTCACATCTCTACGTACCAATTTCCTACTCTGCATAGGGGTAGCCAAAGCCAAGCCAACAAAAAAAAAAAGGAAAGGATGATAACTAGACAAAACCCAACCCACCTCATTTTACAACAAGCTTTCGATGCCCATTTTATACTTCAGACAAATAAAAGAAGAAACGAAATATATCCTACATTTTCATCCAAACTTGCAGCTCTCAAGACAATTTGCAGGCTTGAATTGGTCCAATTCGTTTGGGGCAGCCGCCACATGCGCTGGATGAGATGCCTGTCCTCACGTTTTCCGCTTGGCAAGGGATAAAGTAGACATGACCCTGGCAGAGACCACTTTCCTCACTAGCAACTTCCATAGAGTTTCGTCGCCCTTCTTCTCTTGCTGCATTCTCAGTTTGAATTGCCTGTTCCGAATAAAACCACCCCCAAAAACTTAATTAGACAATGCCATCAGCTACAGTTCTTACAAGCCATAAGGCAGAGAAAGGTATAAGAAAACAAAGTGCCAATATTTGGAGCCCTGCTTGCTATGGGAAAAAAGGCTCAGACAAGTGTTGCGGTCCAAGAATTGTAAAACCATACTGAAGTTTTACCACAAAAGTTAGTTGTGAAGTATTTTATGTTGAAAGTGTGACCATTTCATATCGCTAGAATCTTCAGAAGGTAGTTCTTTTTGGTCGCCCGCTAGTCCATTATGGTTTTACAATCAGGCTGTTGTGACACTCAAAAGTCTGTTCAGTAATGATGCCGGCATTTACCAGCTGAAAAAATGTTGTCTTGAAGTGGGTGGCGGGTCCAAATGCCCACCATCACTTATCTCATGCAGGGATAGATGGATAGATCAGAGATCAGAGGATGAAAAGGCATGTAGTATCAGAGATCAGAAGACAAATTAGAAGTTTCTCTCTTTCTACCCGTTGTGCCCATACTGGATACTAACCAGGAAGGTCACAGTAAAGAGGTTAGGAAACAGTGACAACTTGCACCTGAAGAAGGGGAAGTGGTGGGGTTACGAAGGGGATGGAGGGGGCCGCACACATGATCAAGTTTGGCAAAACAGTGACCCCAAAAAGGGGTCTTCTTCCATATATGGTCACGTTATAAACGCATCAGCCTAATAAATACCGTAACAATCAAACTTTGACGCTTCAACTTTTCAGCAAGCAGCCAAAAGGCAAAGAGTGGAGATGGTAAGGGGCCCTCCTGATTAAAATATCTCCCAAACAACGAACCAAAACAGAATATTTGAATCTCCCAACCAATCAGGACCATTGATGGGAAGGAAGGTAGCAATTACGTTGCGTGTACAGCACTTTCTTCCTTATGGGTTTTATGGCTATCTGTCTCACTATTCCGGTGGGGAAGGTCGGAACTTGGAAAGTTCCGGAGGTGAGAGGACTCAATTTAGACCAGAGGATGTGCAGCAATACACCAAAATAGTGCAAGCTGGTTTTCTCTGGAGGGGGGAAAAAGGGATATATTCTACGGAGTAATCAGCACCAAACATCAATTATCCCTTCACTCAATAAAAAACAAACAAAACAAGCCTGCATATGAATCCCAAGCTAATTTAACATGATAATTGAAAAGGGATAAGAGGGGAAGGGACAAAATTACCTGCAAAGAGGGACTTTGCAAAGATCAAGCTGCTCGCATATCGAAGCATGAAGTCTGAGGAGCTGCCACATCCTTTTACATCGGGAGCACCCTCCATTAACCCGCTTCTTGCAGGTAGCAAAGTGCCTGATCAAAAGCTGAACCCCTCGACAGGTAGAGAACTTGCTGCAAGGCAGGCTTTTTCTGTTAGGCTCAACATCATACGGCCCAACGCTTGTGCACCCTTCTGTGCATATGTGCTCTAGGCAATCCATTGCCTCCGCGAGCTCCATGTACAACCGCTGCTCTTCCCTGTGCCTTCTAGCTTTCTTCTTCCTCTGCATAACCAAAACACCACCACCATCCCATTTCAAGCAGTTAGCTCACTTATCATCCTTACCAAACCAATCTTAATTCAAACTCGGGGTGGATATTTAAGCAATTACCAGTTCAGCTTCATCAATGAACTGCAGGATGTCGAGCTCGAGCCAGGGATCGTGGCCTTGCATGAACTGCCACCCTTCTGTTTGCTCCACAGGTTTGAAGTTGGTGGAAACCAGCTTCATGCACTTGATGTAAAGGTCAGGCGCATCGCATAGCCGTGCCAGTTGAAGCACATCCACCACGTTATCTATGGTCAGGTTCTGACCAACTGCCTTGGCGCATCGCTGCTTCAGTTTGGGAACAGAGTAGACGTGTGACAATGCCAAGAGATGGATCCCAAACTTCCCCAGCTCATCTTCTTCGTACCTGATGACATTGGGCAAGCAATACATCCCTGTCAATTTTGATCATATCCAACCCCCTAAAAAAAAAACAACAGAAATTCGCTGCCATGGATAAACGGAATAAATATTCTTGGCCCTCCAATTTCAGAGGAATTGTTAATAACGATTACGTGACCGACAAAAATAGGTTTAGTGGACGAAGTTATCCCGTCGGCCATTGAATGAAGCAAGCAGATTCACAGTTAAAAGAATAATTTAGTCATTATGAATTATAATACTAATTATCAACCGTCAAATTTCTCAGCAGGTCTCATTGACCGGACGATTCTCATCGCGGTAAGACGTTTGGGAAAAGGGGAAAAGGTCAACTGAATAGTCAAAATGAACATTCTAATACCTTGACGAGTAGAGGAGTCGGATGAAGACGGCGACGGCGGCGCAAGGAACGCCGAGGATCGGAATGACCCTCCCGGAGCTACGGTGCTTGGGCGGACAGTCTACAACACTCTCCAGTACCGGCGACGCCGAGGCCTACACCAATAGAACCGGGAAATTGAACTTCAGATCCCGTGCATTGAATTTAAAACGAGATTACCACAACGAAATTGATTCGAGATAGAATCCGAATGGAGGCCGATTGAGGAAATGAGAAGACGAGGGAGAGAGATGGTACCAGAACGGCGGCGTGAGCCGGGATGCGGAGGCCGGCGGAGGTGAGAATCTGGACGTCCGGCTGAGGAAAGTCAGGTGAAGCGTCGTCGCCGGCGAGTTTGAAAAGAGCGTATGGAGCTGGTGCGCAGTGAATTGGCGCCTCCATTTGCGAGATTGGGAGAGAGAATCAGAGAGTATATGAGAGACAAAGAGAAAGGGTGAGAGCTGGCGTTTGGCGGTAATGGTTGGAAGAGAAAATTCTGGAGTGTGTGAGGATTGACATGGCCTTCGTAGTTGGCTTTATAGGCACCTCCCTGGCTTCCTCTGCCCCCCAGACCAGAAGAGAGAGAGAGAGGGGTAGAGAATGACAAAAATGCCCTCCTCGTTATTATGAACTAAACCAAAAATTAATAAGCTAATAATTGAATTTCCAAAATTTCAGACTATACAGGCGCGTGCTGTTATAGTAACTCAATACTGGTCGTTTTAATGATTTAACGGTTATTTTCCTGTTTTTTTTTACATTTTGCCAATTCATGGGCAATTACGGCTAATTTTTCACTAACAAGTAACAAATCAACAATCTCGTTAGCAGTGCAGTCAAAATCGCGCATTAAAACGTAAAACTTACGTTTTTACGTATCCAGGCCACCAAAACGTTTCAGTGTCTACCCAAAGTCGCTTAGACACAAAAACTGGTAAAAACATGGGTAAAATCGGTAAAATCGTGATTCTGGAGCGTTTTTATACGATTTTGATCATCTCATAAAAAATTTGCTAATTGGCCCAAAATGATGTGATTTTGGAGACATATCAGCAAAAAAAAAAAGGAAAAGGAAAACATGATTTATCACTCGTTCTACAACTAGTGTCGAGATAGGGGGCTTCACATTATATTGAAAAGACACCTAATGGTATTCTCAACAGTCGCTAAAAGTTGTAAAACTTACCTGGGTTACGATAAAAGTTTATGGGTAATTGATCGTATGTAATTATGTAAACTCAAACCAGCTTATGAGAATTTGGATTCTCAAGCTCGTTTACGGGTTACGATCTCTGCTTATGAGCTTATTATTAAGATGTTATGAGTTTTCTCTACTTTTGAGTCAACACAAATTAGTTTGTGTTAGATATTACATTTTAATTATGAATTTCATGTAATTATTCACTTATCTAAAATCTACACACTCACATTTTACATACTATATGTTGTACTTAATATATTTTAGCTATTTTTGAGAGTACGTCAAAAACTTACGCTTTTACGCTTTGATTCTACGTTTTACGATTTTACCCATTTTCCGCTTCTAGATAGAATCGCGCTTTTAACTGCATTGCTCGTTAGAATAAGATGAATTATAATTCCATAAAAAAAAATGAATTATAATAGAATGAAACTATGTTTGTTAATAACTACTGTGTCACATGTTCAAATATTACAGACTGCACCGATTTTCTATGATTAAAAAAACAATCTCGTTAGAGCTTTGCTTTAACCTGCCATCACACTTATCTTAGAGATCTAATGTAAACACAAATATACTTAAAACAACTATAAATGTGTAGTATGATGGCTGATTGTCTCATTTTTTAATTAATCATGAGATAAGGACGAGAGATGAATCATTTACCAGTTCGTGCGATCACTCTTGTAAGGAATAGGGATTAGTCGCTACAATCTTACTAGCAGTGGATCACCTCGTAAACGCATGTATCGGGCTCCGACTGGTACAACAAAGTCATGCTAGCGATCAATGATATACATATTGATTTCGACCTATATTGTTCCAACCTAATGTCAATAAATATAATATTTATTTGGCAATATTTATCGAGGAAAACTATATCATCAATTGAACTATACTAATAACCTGTACGCATGAAAAATGTTCTCCTTGTTGCCTTTTGACTTTTGTTTAGACAAGTCGTTGTAACAATTAATCATGTATACCAGTGATTAAGTGAAAGAACCTTATGGTGGGCCTTAGCGTCATCAGTGAGGTGTAAAAACATTTTCCACTGATTGTGCAGATTAACAAAATTAGGTTTATTTTCTGTGTCGTTGTCACTTCAGATATCACCCCCTCCCCTCTTGTCCGTGATTTAAACTTTGTCCAGTAACAGAATTCCATGATTTTGATGGAAGATATTTTATTGATCATTAATATCTGATTCTAATGGAAGATCGCAAATATCTTTGCCTGTCGATCAGAGTTTACAAGTTCAAGGTTTGGTAAATGAATTGGATTAATAGATTGCTGAATTTATGAATTAGAATGGTGTATCTAAATGGTGTATAAATTTTGGGTCATTATAAATTTTTTGAAAAGTTTAGTAAATAAAATGTCATTACGAAAAATCTAGATGCTAAAATGTAATTTATAATGATAGTTTTCTCCAAACATAAAATTTTGGTATCAAATTGAAAAAAACAAAAATACTAAACTGATAAAAAATTTAACAATTAATGAATCCATAAATCTATTGGATTTGGATCAAATGGATAGGGTTAGTTGAATTTTTTAGTGGATTGATTGGATTGAATTGGATTCAAATTACAACATCTATTTGCATGAGTAATTTGGTAATGACTCGTTTGCCAAAGAAAAATAAAATGGGGCAGTAATTTGCAAATGACTCATTTTTCGTCACTACCTTTCAATCTTAACTCTTCCTTTTTTCATATACCCAATAGTAATCCTTCTCAATTTTGTCTACATAAACCCAATACTTTCTGTTGGGGGTGTTACTAAATACTCCACGCGCAGACTAAATAAGGGCGCCCTTGATCGGTAACGTGCTCCGCTCGAACGCCGCTACGAGTATATAAAGGCAGGAAACTTTTCATTGAGGGGGGCTTCTTCTCCCTCCTGACTTTCTACTTTCCACTACTTCTCAACACTTTATCGCTCTACCTTATTCTCTCAACTCTCTCTTGAAACTGAAACTAACTTGATCGTCGGAGTTTAATCCAGGGGGCATCCCCGGCTCTTTCACAGGTTTCTTCCCTCCCGACGATATCAGATGAACGGATCGTGAGTCAACCCCACACCAACAAATATCATTGTTCATACTTCGAGCTAGGTGGTACAAACACTTTCCAATTATTTTCAAACAATACTTTTCAATTACTTCTAATTAAATAGGTGTTACTAGTTTGAAGAGTGGTTTCAAACATATCATTACTACAATAAAGACCTATAATGGGGAGACAATTTGAAAGAAGTTCCACCAACTCCGAAGTTGAAACACAAATGCACCCAAGATATCTAGTACAAGGTCAAAGTCGTTGCTAGAAAAGATCGAGAAGCTGGAGTATGAAGCATCGGAGGACTTCCAAAGTCCTTTCTTTGCTTGCCTATGTTTTAGTCCATTGATAACAATGTCATGTTTAAAGTGTGAGGTGGAAGCATATAAAAATCTCTGCTTTATTGTGCTTTATACTTGTTATATATGTAGTCATTCAAATTTGGGGGGGGGGGGGGAGGGAATTATCCAATTCTGAAGTAGTATGATGTTTATTTCCTAAATTATTTTTCCGTTAGTGTTGTCCGAGTTTGACCGTCAATATTAGAAAAATAAAAAGTTACAAAAATCTCCAAATCGTCTTAATCGCTTTGCTGATTCCGCTCCTAAGTCAACATCAAGTTTACCACCGTCTAGTCAACCGTTATCTATAATAGTTAACAAAATCTTCAGGACATAAATGACACACAACTATCAGATGTTAGGACATAACTGGAATATTGAATAATTCATTACATAAATGACACTTTCTTGTTAGTTCGGGTTTACTATTGGTATTAGCCCTTGTTTATAATATCACCAGGTGTTGCATGGGAAACCCAACTTATGTGATATGTCAATGTCTTAAGTGTGTATGAAATGGAATGATCAACCATCTATATTCGACTATGTGTAATGCCTGATACCTTAGATTATCAATGCTATTGAACATCACTATGGTTCGCAAAGGCCCTCAATAGTGAAGTGTTAATCCGTAATTCTTTGATTGATTGATTAATTAGTCAAGTGGCATGAAGCAAAAACATGCATTAGCTAGTCATTATTCCTATTGCAAGAAAAGAGAACTCGAGTCGGATGGCCTTAGTGGAAGAGATAGAGATACATGATAGAAGATGCATCGTTGCTTATCATTATTGAAATTGAAATGCATGATCATCTAAGATTATCTTTCTTATCAATGCGTATCTATACTTATCTTGTATTTTATATTATGTTTTGTTTGAGGCATCTCGAAAACCAATAAACATAGGAAAACTCAACACATTAAATTCTATTAAGTCATGGATTGAGCATTAGATGATTTTTTTTTTTTACAAAAGATAATCATATATTGATTCACAAAAAAGGTAGTTACATCCTAGAGTGCAGCCAGACTTGGAAATCAAATAAACGACTCAAAGTCGGAGACAAAGAGAGAGCCTTTCTAGCCACCAAGTGGGCTACCCTATTGTTACGCCGACCTACAAAACGTACATGAAATCCGGAATGAACGGCCAAAGAATGCACAATTTCTTCCAGCACAGCCCCCATCCGGTTATCCCTGGTTTCCGCTTGATTGACCTTGTCAATGATGACTTTTGCATCCCCCTCAAAGTTAACTTCCGTGCATCCCTGACCTAGACACCAACAAATAGCCTCCCGCAGGACAAGCAATTCAACCACCATAGGGTCATCTATACTGGAAAACTGAAACCCTTTAGCCAAAGGAGCTCTCTAGTTGGGGTCATTAGCACCATTCCTCCTGCCGCATGAGACCCATTCCGGGTAGCCCCGTCCCACATGCACACCACCGAACTAGACCCCCCCCCCCCATGACTCAAGTGAGTTGGCGCAGGAGCGAAAGCCTGAAGTACTGGGTCCACTGGCAAACGAATCCATTCCTCAACCTGCTGGTTAAACTGTCGCATCAAGGCAGGGATCCCAAACTGCTTGCCCTCAAAGACAACCCAGTTACGAGATCGCCGGATCCTCCAAAGGACAGCAACAACCTCCATAAACAGTGTTGGTTGATGAATGAGAGACATCAACCTTTTGAAAAAAAGCGGGAAAGTGTGACGAGGCAACCCTCGGCCAAGATACTCTAGCCCTGAATAGTCCCATAGAGCGTGGGCCACAAGGCAGTAAAGAAACAAGTGTTCCATTGTTTCAGACTCTGCCCAACAAACCGGACAACGAGGAAGCACCGGGACACCCTTCTCAATTAGGGCCCCCGTAGTTGGTAGTATCCGATTAAGGA